CTTGATCATGTAGCATTTAGAGCAACATTTTCCCAAATTCTTTATAATTGTGCAAACAGTTGTATTCTGTTCTTTGATAGAGATGGCCCTGTTTCTGGAGTTCTGAATTGTTGTCTTTAATTAGGTTTTATGAATAAGTTGCAACTTCCTCTTGGGTGTTCTATTCAGTTGTTGTAGCATCTCTGAATTAGGCCAAATGGCATTTGATTGTCCTTGCACTTGCTAACTTGAGTCTGTTAAATTGCTTTTCCAAAGATAAAACAAAGAGTAGATGTAATTAGAATTTTCTTTTGATGTTGTTATAAAGTCTTATCATTATTTGAATGTTTCTGTGACTTGCCTAACAGTAAATGATTAAAATAAATTGTGTGACACTTTTCCTTACTAAATGATAACTGTTAATGAATTACATAAATTGTGAATAAAAACAGTTAATGAATAATATAAATTGTGAATGAAACAACAATTTTTAGGGTCATTGCAGTCTTTTATTTGTAAGTTCCTCCTATTTTTTTCCCCAAAATTGAAGTAAAAATGCTTCAAAATACAAACAAAAAAATATTGCTTTGGATTTGGATAAAGATAAGCAAGTAAAATGAAAACTAGATCACAGATTATATTTTAAATCCATGCAGAAAAATTATTATAAATCTTTTTTAATGGGTTTAAAATATAACTTTATGATATACAAAATGTTTAAAATATAACATTTTGAACATAAGCAAATAGATCTAAGAAGGCACTAAATTTTTTTCCTTTCATTAGAATGATCTTTTTCCATATTATTAATCTATGTTCTATAATTCTAAAAGAAAAATTATGTATACACATGAAAAATATGTATGTATATTCTTTTAGAACTTTCTAATACACACACATACACACACACTCTTATATTTTTGGATGTTAATATTTGTGCCTTCTAGTGTATCCTGAAAAAAATTATTTGAAAATTATCAATTGTGAAAAATATAAAGGCTTGCATAAACATACTAAAATGGTTGTTCATAAATTATAAAATATGGGTGATGGTTGTACTTTCTTTACAATGTTAACTGTAAATTATTACTTCTAAATGTGGAGAACTTTATAAAATTCTGTTCTGTTTCCCAGTTTTCTGTTGTCAAATGTATCTATAAGGATTACCATTCAGATTAAAAACAACTTGCACAATTCTAATTGTTTAACATTGGTTTAATTAGTAGTTACACTCTGGATAATTAAGCTGGAAGTGATTCTTGGGCTCATCAAACTCCACAGAAAAGATCTCTGTTTGATTTTTCTGCCCTGCTTGTGGATGGAGAGCAATAATGTGCTTTCTACATATTAGCAATCCTTAATATAAAAGATGTAAGATCTTAAAGATCACAGCCCACTAAAATGACAGCTTTAAATTCTGTAGGGTACTTCATACAAGGTTAGTTAAGAACTAATATCTCATGAGAATGTTTCAGGACAATTAAAATAGGGCAATTACACAAGTGACTGCTTCTGGTATGGCTCTTTGTTACTTGACAGAAAAAATATCAGTGAATGAATTTCTAGGGAGCCATCATCTTTGAGATGATATGGCATATATGCTGTGTTTTATTCTGCTTAATGCAACTTTTAATATGTTGAGATATGTTTTAAGGCACTAAAATGCAAGAGCATACACAATTAGAATAGAAAATGTGGGTAATGGAATGCTCTGTCATGTGTGTTTGTATGTATACCACATTAGATGTCTCTTCAAAAATTATTGAAACACAAAACTGTGACTTGAACATATTTTTGCCAACTCTATATAACTACCTATGTAAGTACTTTTTTTTCCCCTTTGATTTGTATTTAGATTGAATCTAGGATTATTCTGTATCTTTAAAGTCTTTTACTAATTAAGAATCAAAAGAAATATTTTTGCAAAACCTTTATTCTAATGACTAAATAACAAGTAAAAGAAAATCCCACCATATTCATAATTAAAATAATATCTCTTAATCATTGGCACAACTACAATGGTATTTTTTTCTTCTTTCTCAGTTAACTGAGAAAGAAGAAAGAGTCTGAAAAAAATTATATATATATATATATATATGTTTATCTGTAGGTGGTTATTATTTAAATTGATTCTGCTTATGATTTCTAAGTTCTTAATGGTATTATATTAAAATAAGCCAATATGCACTCTCAATCTTCATTTTGAAGGCTTCAGTAATTCTTTAATTAGAAAAATTTTCTTTGTACCAGTATCTTAGAAACCTTGTGCCATTACACATATGTTCAAGGACAGTTTCCATTAATATCAGGGATCTAGATATTATAGCATTGAAAGTGAATGATGAAAAATAAAAGAACATTTTGGAGAAAATCTATTATATAAACAGAGATTAGAAGATCTAGAAAAAAATGAGTTCTGGAGTCCCGCAAATTGTCAGTGCTTACACATCTCTGTTTGACATTTATCTACTTATCAAAAAGCAGATTCTCTGAAGCTTGTAATTAGTTTATTACTCCACCAACTAGGATGATACAACTCAGCAAAATGTACAACAGAAACATTAAAACTTCTTTTAGAGACTTGTGTTTCTTTAGAAAGAAGAAAAAATGTGCAATTGGTATTTTAGTGTCAAATCTCTAAGACAAACTAGGGTTGAAACTATTAAACTAAACTGAACTATCACACTAGAGTTGAAACTATTAAAAGCCAGTAATGTGAACAATGATACGAAAGTGGGGCCTGAGAAGAACTGTTTACCACTGAGTGTTCCTGAGTGCTCCCTGGCAATGGCTGCTCCCTGTGTGCTCTCTTCCCTCCCTCCAGCTCCCATGGAAATGGAGCTGCTGTTTATTGAACTGTTTTCCTGACTCAGATCTGAGTGCCTCAATCTCACGCTTTGCCTGGCATGGTGGCAATTTTTTAATTAGAAAAATTTTCTTTGTACCGGTATCTTAGAATCCTTGTGCCATTATACACATGACACACATTAGACACATTACACACACAATCATAGCTACGTGTCTAATGAACAGTAACTATTCCATGTTAACTTTGAAACATTTTAGATCCCATAAAAGACGTCAAGATTGCCTCCATGCTTTGTCCTTAACTTCTTCCATTTAGAGACAGCAATGAATATTTTCAAACTCAGTTTTGGAGACAATATTTATTTCATAATTTACTTTAACTCAATCACCCAGTATGCTTGTTTGAAGTAAAAATAGAACACTGTGATGCTCTTTATGCATTTTAAGACCCATTTACCTGGTGAGAAAGAGTTCTGTAATTTCCTTTATTCTATAGTATTAATAACAATAAGATCTGTGACCCTGAACAAATATATATGTTTTTATATGTATATAACCTATATATAAATTTATGTAAATATGTATATGTAAATTTAGGATATGTATACATACATATCCTAAATTTATTTCTGAAATATGATTAAATCTGACCATATTTAAATGACTCAGAGATATATTAATCTAGACTAGAAATCAAATGAAATAAGTCAAGGATTAAACCAATTGACAGATCACAGATATGAGTTATGTGAATTATTTTCTGTCCAGTGATATAAAGCTATGTTCTGCTAAATAATCTGCTTCTAATATTAATTCATCATTTATTTAAAAATCTTATTACTTTGATTTTATTTGTCTATTATTACATTTTGGGATGCTATTTCCTCTTCCTTCCTCAGGCATAAAAGCCCAAATTTTTATTATAAAGATAATATTATACAAACATTGGTGATTCCTAAATTCTTTGTTAATTTCAGGTTTAGTAAGTCTCTTTCAATGTATTGACAGAGGTTTTTCTTTTTTTTTTTTCTTCATCTATTAAAACATTTTCTGTTAACTTTGGTGAAAAACATAATAAAAGTCTGTCAGGAACTTGTGGCGTGTACATTATAGGCAACTCAGAACTTGATTTTCTTGTTTCTTCTTGCCTATAGCTATCAGAACTTTTCTTTCTATAGACTAAATCACTCTTTGAACCTTACTAAAAAATTTCTAAACTTTTCTTTTTAAAAATGAAGGATAAAAGCTCTTTTTGATAATTCAAGACTGTTAAGCATAATTAAAAGCTACCAACCAAGATGGTTGGTGCCTTTGACCTTAATCATTTGCCCAAATAACATTTTGTAAGGACTGAGACTCCCAGTTCAGAAGACAGACAGAATACATGTTGGATTATGGCTATATCACAAAATAGTTTTCTGTCCTTTGACATGTTTTTTAGTGGCTGGGTGACCAAGTTTCTGACTTAATATTGAGAATAAGTATGAATATTTCATAAGGTCATTTTGAAATTTAAATAAGATAATACTTTTAAAATATTTAGTTTAGTGACAGATGTGTCTGAGCCCCATGCTTGTTAAATACTGTCAACAAATTCACACTCGTCCTTGGTTTGGAGTGATAACTTTCGCGTGTGACACAGAGCTATTTCCAACACCTCATCACACATGTTCATTATGCACCATCATTCATAGTAAACACAGAGACGGGGTAAACAAAGCCTATAATTCTAGTGTGAAACTCTGTTGACATTATTATGAGAACTTTTTCCCCTTGAGCATAATTTATCAATTATTGTATACATTAAAAGAGAAACAAGAAACAAGATTGATAAATAAAAAAAATTGGGGGCTGGGGATGTGGCTCATGTGGTAACAAGCTCGCCTGGCATGCACAGGGCTGGGTTCGACCCTCAGCATCACATAAAAATAAAATAAAAAGATGTTGTGTCCATTGAAAACTAAAATAAATAAATAAATATTAAAAAATTCTCTCTCTCTCTCCTCTCTCTTAAAAAAAATGATTGTTCTACATAATTCTCTTTTAATAACATTTTTAAGGGGGCTTTGAAAAATACTTAAATTTCAAAATTCTCACATTGACTCATGATTAATATCCATTCTTTAGTATCACACATTTACTTCTTTAATCAAAATTATAGGTTAGAGTGCTGGAGATATTCAGATTCTGACACACCTTGAAATGTTTTACAGATTTATTGGCCAGCCACAAAGGAGAGAGTGGAATTATGTAAATTAGCTGGGAAGGATGCCAATGTAAGTATGAAATTTTATAATTATCTTTGTTAAACTGATATGATAGTAAATATTTACACTTACTTTTATTGAAATAATGACATAAGTGTATTATTCATTTATTTACATAGTAGAAATTTAACCCAGTAACATTCTACCACTGGGCTACTTCCCCCGCATCCCCCCCCCCCGTTTTTTTGTTTTTTTTTTTGAGAAAGGGTCCCACTAAGTTGCTTTGGACCTTGCTAAATTGCTGAGGCTTGCCTTCAACTTGGAATCTTCCTGCCTCAGCCTACAGAGTTCCTGGCATTACAGGTTTTGGCCACAATATTCAATTAAGTGTCTTTGTGTTTTCTTTTTTCTTTTGTACCAGGGATTGAATCCAGGGAAGCTTTACCACTGAGCCACATCCCCAGCACTTTTTATGTTTTTTGTTGTTGTTGTTGTTGTTGTTTTTGAGACAAGGTTTGCTAAGTTGCTTAGAACCTTGCAAAGTTGCTGAAGCTGGCTTTGAACTTGAGATCCTTCTGCTTCAGCCTTCTTAGCTGCTGGGTTACAGCTGTTCACTACCACACCTGGCTAAGTGTATTATTTTTAAGATAATAAACTAATATTCTCTATAAAGATTGATGTAATATAAAATATTTCTACCTTACCAAAAGCACTGATGCTGTTTATAAAAATCCAGAAATTTAGGGGTTTGTGGCTCAGCAGTAAAGTGCTTGCCTAGCAGGCATGAGGCACTGGGTTCAATCCTCAGCACCACATTAAAAACAAATAATAAAAAAAAGGTGCTCATCTACAACTTAAAAACAATTTTAAAAATACAGAAATTTAGAAATGTTATACTTTCTAATGTATCTTCAACATTATTATTTTTATCACAAAAATATTAGAAGCTATTAAAAAACAAATAATCAGCAAACATTGTATTTCAAGGAATGTGTTTTTTTAAAAAATGTATGTACATGTATTTTGTAAACATACAAGTATCAGACATTTAATATCATGAATATATAATTGATTAACTTTATTTGAACTGAAATTAAATTTACAGCATATAGAAGATATTTATATTGTGACAGAGATAACAAGCAAAATTGATGGAAGAAAAATGAGTTGAGAATGAATGACACAGGATTCTGGCATAAGAACTAGAAATAACCGTACTCTAAAAATTTACTTAATAATTATTACATGGAATAACTCATAAAAGATAATTATATGTTCTTAATATAAACTTCTAGCTTAAACCACCCTAAGAACAAGAACAAAACCCTGTTCAGGAGTCACCCTGTTCATTGTCAGTGCAGTCTTGCCTGGCTTGCTTTACACTGTGCAGTTGTCCTGTGTGCTCCCTCACTGAGTCACCTGTTTTACCTCCACATTGATTGACTCCTGTCCTCATCTGCATGCTCTAGTTCAGGCCAGATACTCTGTGTTTTGCTTTGATTTCTTGCACTGTGTGGACGAGGAGAATTATTCTTTTTAGGTAAAATTAATCACCACCTGAATGTAACTCAAGATGGGAAGAGGTTCCAATGTAGGACAGAAACATGGACATCTTGAAGTTTCTTCTGCAACATCCTTTAATGTTACCTTAACCACAATAACACAAGGATCTCAAGTGGAGCTTGGCTTTCATATTTAATAAAAAGCAAACTGTTTGTTATATGAAAGCAAAATTAGATTTAAAAATTATTAATGTGATAGACATACAACAATAGGGTATTTGATGTCTAGTGAATTGAGGAGATGCTCAGAAAATTATGATTGTCAGACAACAAGCTGGTTCACCATTTGCTCATTTGTTTAGTCAACAAACAATTTTAAGGAGCCTGAATGTATGTACAACTATATATCATCTATGTATGTATATATATGAAATTGATAAGGTAGCTATCCTCAAGAGTCTTTCTACTGAAGGACACAGATAGCCTCAAATGTCTATACATTCATACCTAGAAACAGTACTAGAAAACAGAGTGATCAAACCAAAACAAAACCCATACTTCTACGTGATTTTGTATTAACATGATATGAAATATGATCTATTCAGGCACATTAATGTAAACAGAAATATATCAGGGATTGTTAGCCTCAAATGCAATGGGAGACAGTTTTACTTTCATTTTTACCAGAAAAGAAAGAAATTAAACTTTTCAAGACTATATTCTTCTTTATCCCATGACTTCAATGCAGAGACATTGTTCACTCTTATTACATAGCAAGTGCTGGTTCTATAAAAGCATCATTTCTTTATTGAATTTATGAAGGAAAGAATGCTTTGGTTATGAGAGTTTTCAAAATTATTTGTGGAATGAATAGTAGAAGCATGGTGTAACCATTGTGAATAGTTTTATAACTTGTGTTTCACCAATATTGAGTATTTGATAAAAACTCAAGAAGGAAAGGGATGTTTTCAATTTTCCCCAATAAACTAATGTGTATTTTCTGTTCAGTTAGATGAGGAACAAACACCCAAGGTCAAACAACTAGTAAAGTTTTAAACTGTGACAGTGTTCTCATTTCAACATGCACACTAGGTCCATTTACATAGTAACTGCATGGCCCCTCTTATTAAGTTAAAGCAGAGAGTGATGAGCTTTTCTGAAAGCGGTATCCTTGAGTATGTATGACTCAGTACACTGAATGAATTCATCCAACTCAGTTCTGTTTGTGAGCTAGTGCTTACCCTTACCTTTAAGCACTTCTGCTAAAACAGGATTAGAAATCTGGGAAGCTTTCCTCTTTTCACAAATCCTTTAAAATCTGATGTTGATTCATGAAGACACAAGTCTTTATCTCTTCATTTTTAATTTGTCATTCTATTTTAGAGTTCCTGACAATGGCTAACACTGTCACAGCACTTACTATATTCAAAGTACTGCTTTCAGTACCTTATGTTTCTAATCTCATTTAATCCTTAAAACAACACTATATGTTATGCTTTATTATTATTCCATTTTCTCCAGATGAGAAAACTAAAGCCAGGGAAATGAAATCACTTGCCCAATATCACACAGCTGGTAAATATAGAGCCAGGGATTGAATCCAGAAGTCTGGCTGCACAGACTATGCTCCTACTTTACACTATAAATCTACATACAGGATCTGAAACCTCTCTCTCTCAAATAATTTCTCTCTCTAATATCACCATGATACAGGTCCTCATTTCGAACAGTATTGCACAGATGTTGACTAACAGAAAACTAAGACAAGGCTGTGATTTTATGGACATCTTTTATTACTGTTGGCACTACCCTCTCTCCTTCCTTCTCTCTAGTAATTTTTACCTACTTCCCAAGAGTGCGTTTAGGATTAACAAGTGTTTGGAAAGACTGTCCCTTAACACAAAGGTACTATATAACTGCTAAATAGTGAATTATTTACTACAATGAAGTTTAGCTAATTGGGATGGGGAGGCAGTGGAAGATGAAAAAACAAAAGGGAACTATTCCACATTCTTTAACATGGTCCCACAGTTGAATCCAGGGAGAAGAAGGAGAGACAGAAAAATATTTGGCAGAATTTTGCTTCTATTAGAAGAAGGTTATTCAAAAAAAATCAATAAAGAAATATCTTTAGTCCTGACTGTACGACTTGGGTTAAACCGCTCAGTCCAGGCAAAAGAAAGGACAGAGCTAGGAGAGCCTGGCTCTGCTTGTCAGCTCAGCTTCAGAGAAGTGCACAGGCTAGCTGTGGAGAGATATTACAGAGATGGGTGACCTGCCAGCTCCAATGTTCTGTGGTTATATTTCATTTTTTTGTTTTAGTTTTTCAGAAAATCTGAAAACAAAACACAATATTTATTTTAGAAAGTTTGCAAATTATATACAAAGGGGGGAAAAAGTCACTTGTAAATACTGTCTCCCCCATAAACACTACCCAGAGATAGCTGGTGACATGTTGGTATTTATTCTTCTATCTTATCTATTTACTGTTTTGCAGAATGAAATCATTGTATACATAGTCCCTGAAAACGTTTTTTTCCACTTTGCAGACTACCATGAGCATTTTCCCATGTCGTTAAATTCCTTTTTATAACACCACTTTTAATAGCTGCACTGCATTCCATTATGCACTAGTTCATCAATCCTCTATTGTTAGAATTCTGGTGCATATCCAGTTTTTATTATTGCAAATGATACTGCATATGAAAATTCTTAAATATAAACACTGAGAAGATCTTTGATAATCAAGTGGACTTTTATTAGTTAAAGACATAAAAGTTTTACACACATATTGCTAAATTTCCCTCCAGAAAGTTTATGTCTCATGTGTTCTAACCAGCAGTATATGATTTTGAGAGGGTATATTTTTTCATACTCTTGCTATTATTGGATACTGAGCAAATGAATATTTATTACAAATATATAAAAACATATATTGAATCTTTGACAACAAAAGGAAAAATATTTTCAGTTTTAGATTGAAATCCTTTTATACTACAAATACTAATTATTTTATATACTTAGAAAAAGTATTTTAAATATTATATCCCTTTTGTTTATTTTTCCTTACTGATTATTTAGATTTTTTAAAAACATAGATATATATGTATATATATCTATGTTTTTAAAAAATATACACATGTATATGCTAGTGTATGTGTGTTTGTGTGTGTGTATGTGTATGTGTGTGTGTAATAAAGCATATAACTAATATGTTTTCCACTCATGGAAAAATATTATTTAGCAGTTTTCTTTTATGAGGACTAGACTTTCAATATTTAAAAAGTCTTTTTCTTTTAAATATTTCCTTTACTTTTTAAAAAATGACCAATTATTCCTCTGTAAAAATGTTCACTGTTACATCTTCCATTTTTAAGAAAGAAATTGTGATATTTGAACTTTTATACAGTTATTTTAAAATGCTGACAATTTATTAAAATGTTTAAACATTCTGAGAACTAACCAGCTATCTCTGCATACAGGATCATGTCTGAGAATAGCATCCAATTAATGATCCAACAAGGTTCAATGATCACAATATTCTACAAAAATGTTAAAAATAAAAAC